AGAGGAAGGGAGGGAGAGATGAGAACATTAATGATGAGACTCATTGATCAGCCGTCTCCTGCACGCCCCCTACTGGGGATGGAGCCAGGACCTGGGCATGTGCCCTGACAGGGAATCGGACTGTCACCCCCTGGTTCATGGGTCGATGCTCGCCCACTGAGCCACACTGGCCGGGCCTATGTGATCATTTCCTATAGGAAATGGCAGTGGTAGGTGGGAGTTGTGTGTGTGTTCCCACTGTGGGGTAAAAAGCTGACAACATAAAACCCACCATTCCTGACATTCACAATGTCATGCAACCTCCACCCAGAGCATTCTCCTCCAGCACCCCAAAAGGACACCCCTTTCCCATTTAATACAGTTCCTCATGTTGTGGTGACCCCCAACCATAGGACCCCCTCCCTCCAGCCCCGACAACCACTTAACCTACTTTCTTTTTCAATGGATTTTCCTGTTCTGGACACTTCATCTGAACGGAGTCGTACAATATTGTGGCCTTTCTCTTGGCACGATATTTTCAGATACCAGCACTCCATTCCTTCTTACGGCCACAAATACCCGATTGCCTTAACCCAGTGATGGCGAACCTTTGAGCTTGGCGTGCCGGCGTTTTGAAAAACCCTAACTTAACTCTGGTGCCGGGTCACATATAGGAATTTTTTGGTATTTGCAACCACAGTAAAACAGAGACTTATATTTTTGATATTTATTTTATATATTTCAATGCCATTTAACAAAGAAAAATCAACCAAAAAAATGAGTTCGCGTGTCACCTCTGACACGCGTGTCATAGGTTCGCCATCACTGGCCTAGATCTACTCCCTTTGTCTATCGCTTCATCCATTTGTGTGGACTACACGTGGTCCTATGTGGGGGGTGCCCCATTACCCCCACTTACAGATGAGGAAACGGAGGCTCAGAGAGGGTGAGGGACCTGTGTAGGGCCACATGGCTGGAGGTGGCAGGCGACCAGGCAGGCTGGCTCTAGAACCTGTACCCTTACGCACTGGGCACCCCCACCTCTCCTGACACCCCGCCATCTGGGTCAGGGCCCCCTACGCCTCCTTCATGCCTTTCCCCACACCACTCAACAAGACGAAATTGCATTTTGGGGGGATCCTGGGGTTCTGCCGTGTCTCTGCCCCCGGAGCCCCACAGGGACCCTACGGTGTGGGTGTCAGGACAGAACCCTGGGTCTGCTCGCCTGGACTCAAGTCCGGTTCCGCCTGACGGGCAGGCGGCCTCCCTGAGGGATTGTCCCTCTGTGCCTCCGCTTCCTTATCTGGGGGTAATACCCGTCTCGCGGGGTGGCCGTGGGGATTAAATGAATTTACAAGACGTTAACCACAGTCACCGCAGGCTGCGGCAGTTACTGTTATGATTCAGCTGTGATGCCCGAGTTCTTTCTTGCAAAAAAAAAAAAAGGTTTCAGTCTTCTCTAAAATCAATCGTAAAAATCTGTTTAAATTATGCTTACATAAAAATGTCCTGCCTGCCCGCCTGCTGTTGGTTCCATGAAAACATTCTATAGAAAAATGGGTTCAACCTTTGAGCAATTCTGCCCTGGCCAGTGTGCTCAGTGGTTAGAGCACCAGCCCATGCAACCAAGGGTCGGGTTCCATCCCGGCCCCTCCCCAGCCCCACTGGGGCGTGTGCAGGAGGCAACCAATGGGTGTGTCTCTCTGACATTGATGTTTTCTCTCTCTCTCCCGCTCCCTCCTTCCCAACCACTCTCTCTAAAAAAAACCAATGGAGTCTGGCCGGTGAGGCTCAGTGGTAGAGCTCCGACCCAG